GCTGTGTTTTCCACTTTGGGTTGGAATGCCGGTATTTGTTTGTATTTAGACAGCCACTTCAGAGCCTGCCTGCCAGGTATCTGTTCTCTTTTGGTTCCTTCCTGAGAAGTTTTACTTTAAATTTGATTGGACGTGCTTTTCTTATAAGTTGCTTTAAATAAATTTCTCCCAAAGCATCATATAGTGGATTTAGACTTTTGTATTATAAAACCCTTGCCTGCCTTTCATTGGAGAATCTCCTCTGTTTTCTATAGCTATTTCTGTTTCCTGACTACAGATAAACAGGTCGCTGTTGCAGTATCTTTTTTTTTTTTTTTTTACCTATTCCCTTTTTTATATAAATAGAACTAAATAGTTTACAGTATAAATTTGTTTGACAAGTAGATATGTACAGTCTCTTTGGTTTTATTTGAAAGGCACGTGAAGCCAAGTGACGATAAGCTGCCCAGATGGGTGGGGGTACAGCATGGAGTCGGACCGCACATTGCTGCGTATTAGCCCATGTTAACCCTTTTTATTTCATAAGAGAACAAGGGGAAAATCTGCCTCAACTACACTACTTAAAGGATGTCCACCCCTGGGAACGAGCGTGCTTCTTGTGGCGTCAGTTGTTCATAGCCGGCAGCCTGTTTCTTTTTAAGGCATTATATTCTGTTCAGATTCATTATTTGTTGGTCATGTTGTTCATTAGGGTTCAGTTAAACTACGCTCCAGATACTTATTTGGATATCATCATATGAAATAAATTTAGAAACTCCAGGTCATTTATAATAATAATAACAAGAACAGCTACATGGTTTCTAGAAAACTCGTCGCCAGCAAACACGCCCATGGCCCCCGGCTTTCCCACCTGGATTGTTTTTTCTAGACCTGATACCTGCCAGATGGTATAGAGCCACGAACCAAAGATCAAGCTGCTGTGCTTTCTGATAAACAACATGAAACAGCCCCGCTTTTACAAAACAGTGGCATCAGGGTACTGTCCATTTTCCTGAACCTTGAAAAACTAAATTTAGAGAGAGAGATGTTTGCATTTTTCTATGAATTCTTAAAAATGTGAATCAACTATTTGAATCATGAAACTTCAGGAGATTGATTTTTATATAAAACAACTGTGCCTTTGTACCAGAGGTGGAAAAATACGATGAAAACCTCCATGAAAAGACAGTTGAGCAAGGTGGAACACCAATTCGATACTACTTTGAAAACCTCAAAATCAGCATTCCACAGATCAAGCTGAGTGTGTTCACCTCCAACAAGCTGCCCTTGGATCTTAAGGTGAGCTGATGTCTAGATAAGTTTTAAATAATGACATTTCCTTGGAAAAGAATGAGGCTGTTTAGGATTTGCTTTTTCTGTTCAGCATCATTTATAGCAGATACTTTTAGAGGTTTCCTTTTTTAGAAGGTTTATTGACTCACATACATATGTATATATATTTCTTTCATTCTTTTAGTGTGTGAGTATGACTTTGCTAAAGATTAAAGAGTAACAAAAGAGAGTAAACAGAGAATTACACTAATACCCATCCACCCTCTGCTTAGCTCTTGGCTTATCGCAGCGAGGTGAACGCCTCCTTTCTAGGGCCACTCCCGGACTCGAGGAGAGCAGCAACCTAGACAGAATCTTTCTTTTGTGCCCAAGACCTACCCGCCCTTCTAGTTCTCTTCTCTTAAGTGTCCACCTCATCTCGAATGGCTGACGCTAGAAATGCCACCACCTTGAAAGAGGTCCCGGCCGCGTGCCCACGACCCGCGGAGATGTGGCCTCACCTATCCACATACCCGGATGTAACATTCCTACAGACAGACACAGTCTGAACACCATCTTCATCTTCTGCAATAAAATCTATTTTTAAAGTAAGGGATGGGGCTGGGATTCAAGCCTAAATCTATTTTTTTCTTCTATACTGTGCTGCCCCCTAGAACATAAGGAACAGAATTTTAGAGTCGTAAGAGTCTTCAATGATCCCCTTTTCTCAGTGGATATCAGAATTTGAAGTGTTTTGTCACTCACGTCTGTGTAGGTAGTGATGAATTAGGATTCCTGATGGAATCCCGGGATCGGGATCCCACCGTTACTGAAGAAGGGAAACACGGAGGAGAGGAGCAAGCGCAAGACCCAGGCTGATTGTTGGAAAGCCTTTCCTTAGGCTGAGTCCAAATCCGGCTCCAGGCAGCTTGCACCCGTTGCTTCTGGTTCGTTCTTCTGTTGCACTGATAGTAATCAGGGCACCCCTCCTCTCACTAACCCCCATCTAAGACTTTTCCCCTGCCCCATGTTGCCTCCTTTCAGATGCTGCAAGATGGTCTCTTTCTAACAGGAATAGCTAGAGACGTGAGCAAATAGGTAATGAGCCTGGAGTCATAAACTTGGATGCCTACGGGGACCGCGCTAGCCATGCAAGGAGGTGAAGCTGTGGAGTGGGGCAGTGGCACACGGTGTGTGCATGCTCATCTGAAGGGGGCAGCGCAGCGCAGCTCAGCCAGTTGTCACAGGGGAATGTGAACCCCACATTGCCAGGTCTTCAGATTTTTAAAGTGAAGCCGGAAATCTGGATTTTTATGTGGAATCTCCTGGTTTTTAAACATTGGCAACCAATTTGAGTTTTTTTGTTTTTTTAAAGCCTGGTGGGCCTAACAAAACACATGTGTGGGCCTCATGTGGTCCACAGTTTGCCAGCTCACAGCTTCTAAAATAGACTTACAGGTAACGAGACAGTAGTCTGGTCAACATCAGAGCCTATTTGGATAAGGATAGGGCAGGGGTGACTGCCTCATTAGGCGGCACACTGGGGCTGAGCGGCTGGGCATGCTGGTCGGGACCAGGGGAGCAGTAATTGCTCCCGCAGCCATCCTGAGAACAGTGCGCGGTGCCCTTCCTGACCAACTGTCCTGTCTGCTTCATTTGCTTTAATTTCATGTTTCCCAGGAGACTGAAGCTATTTATAATTAGCATGGGAGTTGGGGGAAAACCATGGGAAAACCGCTATCTTGCTAATATCCACAAGTATCCACTTGACTTATGTGACCCTTTGGAATGGGTTTGTTTGATAAAGTATATATTCCCCCAGAACACTTGGCACTCGCCCAGCAAACCAGTGTTAAGCATTTCCTGAGAGTTAAGGACTTCTTGTTTTTAAAATCATCTTACTAAGAAACACAGACACCTAAATATGCCTTTCAAATTGCTCCCAGCAGAAAACATTCCCCCAGACTGACAAATGCAGTATGATTTTCTCCAGTTGAGGCAGCCCCGGGCCCCTGTTACATGGCATTGAAGGTATGCTGTGTGTACAATAGACGGGGAGTCATTGAAGGCGAGTGTTTCACTTGGCACTACGTTTAAGGAATGTTTTCAAGGCATTTTTCAAACGATGAAGCGAATTCAGTGGAGCAAATTCAGTGGAGCCAGCTACGTTATGAGGTGTGGGGCGGGGCTGCTCTGATTGGGGTCCATTAATGTTTCAAGCAGAGTGCTGGGAATTGGGACTTCAGAGTTAACATTCTCAGGTTGTGGAAGTCACCGTTTGACTGTGTGCTGAGTTCTCCCAGTGGAGTCTGGGACCCATGAAATGTCATTGGTTCGAAGAGTTTTCTGACAGTGGTGTAACTCTTTATGAGTTGCTCTTCGGAAGAGCAGTGTGCTCTTGGCGATGGATATGTAATGCCTGAAAGTACGTGTGGAGGAAACGGAGTTCCATCCCGGCACAGGAATCCCAAGTCTGACCAAAAGGTAACCATGTCTTTGGGATTGAAGGAATAATTATCTCGATTCCTTTGACTCCGGGCCAGAAGCGAGGCTGTCAGAAACCTCCAAGCAGAGTCTCCAGGTTTACACTGAGGGTACTACGGTATTGCCAGATACAGTGTCTGTTCGGGACAGATACAGTGTCTGTTCGGGACAGATACAGTGTCTGTTCGGGACTCTGGGCGGTTTCACATCTGCTATCTCAATTGGGTTCTTTACTCTGTGATGGAAGAAAGGGAGATAATCGTTCCATTTCCACAAATTCAGAGTCAAAAGCACAGCATTCCGCCCCTTCCCCCATTCCTTCCATTACTCGCCCAGCTTTGCCTGTTTAGAGAGTAGCAGAGCAATAACGAAAATGCCAGGTAGCTTAAGTGTTGCTTTGGGTTTTTTTTTTTTAAGATCAAAAGAGGCCAGGAGCCTTTAAAAGGTTTCACAAGGTGGCCTACAGCAGTTCTTTTCCCATTTAGAGCATTGGGGTATTACAAAAGAAGGGCTTTAATTGAGCAATCTAGTTTGGAAGGAAACCCACATTTTAATGGTCAGAGAGCAAGAGGGTGGGGGTGAGGGGAATTTCAAACAAAGACACTATTTAAAAAGCCTAAAACTGTCTTCTCAAAGGCTTGAAATAATTTGTTGGGAAACTTCAGACCCTTTACTTTTTTCCTCCCCTTCCTAAATAAAAACCAGATTTGTTAAAGGAAAAAAGATCCAGTATTGTTAATTGTATTTCAGAAAGTGCCAGAGAGGGAAATATCCCTGTAGTTTTAAACACCGTCCCAAGAGGGAAATGGGCAAATACCCTGCTTCACATAAACAGTCTCTATGTACCATAAATAAACCTTTAAAGAATGAATTCCAGACTGTTTTGTTTAGTGCAGGATAAACTAAGAAAGGAAAGGACGTGGCCCAGAGACTGACTTGTGATGGGAGACCTTATGGCATATGGACAGGTATTTCTTCTTTCAACTCTAGTTCCTGGAAGACTTCAGCAGTTTGGTCTGGAGGAGGCAGGGATAGACAGTTTCCTATTTTTGATTAGGAACTTATGCGCACAGATTGTTTTCTCCAGAATCCATTTTATAACAGGAAACTGCTACTTGAGTAAATAAGCATCAACTTTGTATACTACTGTATTTGATTAGTCCTTCAGTCACTCTAAGAAAAAGGGGTTTGGCTCTTTCCCTCTCATCATTTCTCCTTCGACCAGAACAGCCTGAAGGTGGCAGGACAGCTCATACCAATAGCTTTAGCTCAGCCTTTTCAAATGAGGGAGGCCCCACACCAGTCTGTGACTAGGTAAAGATCGTTTTTATCGAAGGACCAGAACATGTCCTAGGTTTAGATAAAGCCCATTAACCATGAGGGTTTTAACAACTTACTGAGTCCAGATTTCAAAGTCTTTGCTGCTTGCTCTGTGTGTTTCCTCCCCCTCAATGTCTGGTTACAATGAGGAAGTTGGGGCAAAAAGCTTTTTGCCTTAAGCCTTTGTTTTGATCTTGTTCCCTCTTCTCTGGGAAGAAAGTGATGCTGGGCTGGGAGTAATGCTCGGAGTTGCAGTGACAAAACGAACTGCTGAGCTGATGTCAGTACCTGGGTTTTCCTGGCATATTTATTGTGTGGCTCCAAGCAAAGCAGTTAAGCCTGCTGGGCCTCAGTTTCTCTGTCAGTGACATGAGGGAAAGCAGTGAAACTTACTGCTTAATCCTCACTCACCGTGTGGATGAGTGAGGCGTGCATGAATGCATAGCAGAAAGTTTTTCAGGAGAAATAATATAATCTTCTATTCTGGTCTTCATGCTTTCCACCTAATAAATAGTTACTACTGTGAAAATGAGCACGTTCAAGTCTAAGATCTACTAATAACTAGCTTTATGTGTTTACGCCATCCTCTTAACATTTTGGTTTTATTTATTTTAAAAAATAAGAGTATTAGGCTGAATTAGCATGTTAGGCTAATTTGAGGGTGCTCTTAATCTCTAAAATGTTTTGTTTGAAATTATATAGCGGTTCTCAACCTTCCTAATGCCGTGACCCCTTAATACAGTTCCTCATGTTGTGATGACTCCCAACCATAAAATTATTTTCATGGCTACTCTATAACTGTCATTTTGCTACTGTTATGAATCGTAATGTAAATATCTTTTTGTTTTCGATGGTCTTAGGCAACCCCTGTGAAAGGGTCGTTCGACCCCCAAGGGGGTCGCAACCCGCAGGTTGAGAACCGCTGATTTAGGAGGAGGTCACCAGGGACTTCCCAAGGCACCAGGTCCAGTGGCCTTTTTCCTGCCCTTATCTTTGTAGGTCCCTCAGCCACATTTGATAGTGCAGACCTCCCTGTTCTTGACATCTGTCCTTTCTGGTTCTCTTCCTCCTCTTCTGTTTCTTTCTTCTCTGTCTTTTTCCCAGTGTTCTTTTGCTCTACTAATCCTTCGCCTAACTTATATGTTTAAGTGTCTTTCTTTTTCTTTGAACTGTCTGGTCATATCACTTGTCCATTTTTAAAAAATCATATTATTGGCTTTTTA